ATCACAAATTACAGTAAGTCAGTCAAATCAGTCAGTAAATCAAGGTATGTTGTAGAAGTGACAGTGTTTAGAAGGGTTTATTAATGTGATCCAGGTAAGTTTTAGAGGTGACATGCAGTGATTAAGAATGGGGTTATTAAATTTATCCAGGTATGTTTTGTTCTGTGTATGAATTCCGATAAAATGTCTGATAAAATGTCTTTGAATTTCGGATAAAATGTCCTTGAAAAGTCCTTGAGAAGTCCTTTCAGAAAATTTCAGTCCTGTATGAACCATGTTAAAATTGAAAACCCCTGCTCAATTTATATTACCAAATAAAAATAAAACAGGACACATGCTATACTAGTCTAACCACTGGGAACAACCGCACGCTGTAAACACACACTCCGCTAAGAACAAGGGGCAACCGCCCAGCGGTAAACATTACAATTTAAGGCTTCAACTACAAAATAAACTAATCACGGCATAGGGCACTTAGTGGGCCCTGGCACTATGCGAAGCTTCTCCCACGTTGTGACGTGGCCTCTTCCAGGACCACGGGTCGGTAGAACTTGCTGTTGAGGAGTGTTCTGTAAAGAGGGAAGAGTTCAATGGCCCACAGCGACAGGTTGGCTTCGCTCTTTGGTGTGCATCTTCTGCCATCCACCATCTATGTAGTCGGTCGAGCGGCAATTACATCGCCGGCGCTCGGGCGACAACACGCAACCCGCTCCTCGGCGGGTCTACACGGGCAAGGCGATATCTGCCCACACAGGCAGTGGGCGTGACCTCACCACATGCGTCGATACTCAAGATCGACACGTGCCATACCCGTTCGCTCCGCTAACTCATCCGGCAGTGTTGGAAAGGAGGTAACCCCGCGAGCGTGATCATCACCCGCAGGAGACTCACGAGACGTCTTACGTCTCGTCACTTCCTCCTCCCCACAGACTTGTGCAGTGTTATCTCACCACGGGGTCTTACTCCAGTTTGAGCGATCTTAGTGCCACCGTAGAGGTCTCCTCTTCTTCCCTCCCACTGCCACTCATCTGTCTACTGTTCCTTCCGGAAGCCGTAGTACGCGGGCGGCTGCACCTGCCGCCAGCTGCGCGTCACTTGTTCCTCAATTTGCATTCGCCCGGGAACCGAGCTTCCGCATATTTTGTACACCAGGGGTCGCCACCGCGAGGACGACGCTCGTTAGACAGTCTACGGTATAGCGAAGTGATCTGTTATCCGACCTTATTTGTGATGTATAGGCACTGGCGTTTAAATCGCACGTAGTGATTATTAGTTTGCGTGTTCCGGTGGCGTGATGGTCTTACGCGTCGAATCGCGCGCGATGATCAATGACTCGAGTCTGGCTCGGAGCGAACGTGCTGCTGTCGCTGTGTTGGTAAATGTGTGACGCGAGGCTATAGCAAGCGTTACCTAATAAATAATAAACATACTTCTACTTCGTACTTATTACTTCTCACTTCGTGACCGGCACCCCCCCTACCCTCCGTATCTCTTACTGGACGACCGGAACCCCCCCCTTTTCTCGACGCTCGGGTGTTTGGCCATTGTACACAGCTTATCTTCTTCATCGTTTTTCCACTCATGCCATGTTGCTTGGGAATTTTCATCAAATTTGTATTTCTGTGAAAATGCTTTTCCATCTTTGCATGTTTGGCATTGATTCAACCAACACTGTTGTGTTACTTGAGTGCACAGTCTGGGAGGCTTTTACTGTAAACTGGGAACTGGAAATATCTTATGAAGCTCATTCACAGCCATAATGTAGTTCTCGTGGTACTTACATAAGCACACGTTTTTTGGCATTTTGCTACTCAAAAGGACATGCTACGGTCGAAGGTAGGCAAATTTGCTTTTGCCAACTGTAACTGCAGGATACTTCCTTAAATAAAGCATATACTTCAGATATAGAGGATGTGATATGTCTGGACTGTACTTTTGATTTTGTACCATCATCATTTTTAATTGTCACAACATTCTTTCTGCCAGGGGCTAGCCTGCTGATATCATTCCTGTGGTATATTTTTTTTACAAGGGTTACGATGAATAGGAAAAAGAGCAACATAGACCATGCAGTGTACATATTTTGAGGGAATTTGTTAATATGATTGTCTCTTACTGGTGCACGAAGGGTCGTTGTCGTAACAGGTACTACAGATATGTACCTGAGGTAGTTTTAGGTTGTTTAGTATTATGTTTATATTTTTATATGAGGTATGTTTAGGGTTAGGGTTAGGGTTAGAGTTAGGGTTAGGATTAGGGTTAGTGTTAGGGTTAGGGTACACTTCTGTAGTAGTGGTAGTAGTGTAGTGGTGTTCAAAGTCTGGTACACTTTGTGTATACATATATGTACCTCGGGTACATATCTGTAGTACCTGTTACGACAACGACCCCTTGAGCCTTACTGGTAGGTGTCGTTTCTGTGTCTCATTGATGGCACAGTAGGCATCGCAGTGGCCCAATGCGTCTTGCTCGAGCACAACATTTAGGAGCGCCTCCCATTTCATATGAAAGACGCGAGCAGCGATGTTTGGACGCTGATATGAGGTTTGCCCAGTGAGAAGTGATTGTGTGATCTCTGGCCAGTTGGGGTTACAGGTGAAGGTTATGAAATATGTTGGTTTTCCATATTCTCTGACGATCAACATTGCATCCTGGAAATAGATAATAGGATTTGAATATACAGCGAAAACTTGCTATACCGCAACGCAGTAATATCTGCATCCTACGACATATGTGTGAACAGAGTACTCCCTAATAAATGGACACGGGTATGCAATAAAATTTTACGCAGAGTACAGTATATGGGTTAGGTGAAATGGTGGGGGTGGGTAGGGGTCATTACAGCAGGTATTGTATTGGTATTGTAGCACTTGATGTGACACAGATATGACAAATATCTTTGCAATACCACCACGATAAACAGCGTAGTAAAATGGACACTGTAATGAATTCTTACCTGGAACTGCCTGGCGTACCATCGTGGAGATGCATACATAGTTGGGGGTAGTATCGTTCTCTTTCCGGGTAGCATTTCTTCACCATTCTCCACAGCATCCATAACACAGCTGGAACGAAAATGCGTGGATGATAGTCGACATAATACAATGTCATATAAAATATAATGTATGAACGATGTGGAACCATGAACGTAAAACCAAACATATTTATAAAATGTTACTCACCGATACTTCTCAGCTTTAACAGTCTTCTGATTCAAGCGAAACCATGTCAGTCGCTGTGTTTCGATCTTTGCCATCTGATTGCACATGTACTTCTGTGTCAGCTTCGCGCCGCGGAGAAGGAGATTGAAGTGCACGGTGATATCACACACTTGCAGGTGATAGCGGTAGAAGTCAGTAGCCGTGTTGCCTTGGCGACCATTCTGACGTTGTGACAGCTGACGGTGGTATCCATATGAACCTTCAGCTAGGAGAAGAACATAGGAGAGTGGATCATATAGTCGATGAAGGGCGTCAATTTCTCTCTTTCCTCCTTCGCGTAGCTGCAGTAACACATCTAAAGGGCGGAATTGTTGACTTTCAGTTCCACCAGGCAATATGACAGCAATGTCTGATCCAGTTGGTAGGTTCATGGTACCTCGATGGATGCCTTGTGGACGCCCTCTTGGAAAAATACATGAAAACATTTCATGTTTCATGCATAATAATTAAAGGAAATGTCCTGTTCATGTTTAGGGAATTTTATGGCGCATACGTGGAATTGTCCATAGATTATTTCATGGGTAGCATTTTCAGGTATGTGTACATAAAGTTACCTGTATTCTTTAATTGTAAAATACCTACATAATAGTTACATTCCCCATACATGAAATTTCCTGCTTGGTACATTGAGATTTTCCTGCTGGTTAATTAGACAAGCGTTATTGTCCCCATACATAAAACTTCCTGCCAATACATGAGTTTTTCCTGCTGGTTAATTGGTAACCAAACGTTATTGTCCCCATACATGAAATTTCCTGCCTAGTATGCATGAGATTTTCCTGCTGGTTAATTAGACAAGCGTTATTGTCCCAATACATGAAACTTCCTGCCAATACATGAGATTTTCCCGCTGGTTAATTGGTAACCAAACGTTATTGTCCCCATCATAGTCCTATGTCCCCATACATGAAATTTCCTGCCTAGTACATTAAGATTTTCCTGCTGGTTAATTGGTAACCAAACGTTATTGTCCCCATACATGAAATTTCCTGCCTAGTATGCATGAGATTTTCCTGCTGGTTAATTAGACAACAATAGCGTAATTGTCCTAATACATGAAATTTGATGTCTGCTACATGAAATTATCCTGCTGGTTAATTGGACGATAAATTAAATTAAATTAAATTAGACGTTAATTTGAGTCTTATTCTACTAATACGTGAAATTTTCTGTTTGGCACATGCAGTGAGATGGAAGCAATTCCTTCAAGAAGTAACCCTTTATTGTAAATTTCACCAAAGTTATTGTACTACTAAATTTATGCAAGTATATTGTTGAGTGCAGATATATATATAGATTGAACTTAGATAGATAGTTATATAGATAGAATAAACTTTATTATAATCAGATTCATACATACATAGATTATAAAATACATATATACATTATCACATTTATTTACAATTACAATAAAACATAAAATAGCACAATATCTACATATACTACATAAACTACACAAACTACATATATAGAATAATGCAAATATCTTTTTATTTTATTTTACTCTCTTCTACTACTACACTCTCTTTACTACTCTTCACACACTCTCTACACACTACTTCACACACTTCACACTAAAATAGCACACAATCTACAACTACACAAACAACATATATACAGTAATACAAACATCTTCTCTTTTTTTATGCTCTTCTACTAACACACTCTCTACTACTCTTCACACACTCACTACTTCACACACTTCACACTACTCACACATTGACTCTCTCTACTACTCTTCACACACTCACTACTTCACACACTTCACACTACTCACACATTGACTCTCTCTACTACTCTTCACACACTCACTACTACTCACACATTTACTTCCGTCTCTCATATCTGTTGAGTTCTCGGCATTTCTCCCCGATCATATATCGTACCGTGTTTTTCTCCATCTCGTACTTTTCAGAGATGAAGGCTGGAATGTCAATGTTGTTCCTATTAATTTTATTATCCACGGTATAGAGTGATGTATCTAAAGTTTATAAATATAGTTGGTTTCGTTAGCCTAAAATCTCATGCTAATTGCTCAAGAAATAATGTGAAAGTTACTACATAGCACATGGTATTCATTTATACAACATTATCACAGCTTTTTTGTCTGTGACAATTTCAAACTTACAAACGATTGCCTCCACCTTCAGTACATTCAGGCGTTCTTTCCCATTTCTTCCGGTTATATTTGAAGTTGCGAGCTCCTGTGGTGTAAAGAGGCGCGTTACCATCCACCTTGTCGCTTTCTTCCACTCCCCAAAAGCCTTGCAACCCTCTTCTAGTTCAAAAGGTATAGACTGGAACATTTATGTAAAATAAAAAAAATCAGCATGTAATTCAAGGAAAATTGTATTATAATACAGTAAAACTCGCATAAGTCGTCATCGTCTAACTCGTCAATTCGCGTAAGCCGTCATGGCCCAATTTCCTCTCATAATAAATCCATTAGAATAGCCCCGCTTAAGTCATCATTTACAAGCCGTCATTATGTGTAAGTCGGCGCTCTCAGACAGGTCCCATGTAATACAAACACGCGTCCCCTCTCTGTTAGATATATCGTAACCTCCACAAGGGCAGCCAAATCAATCACATACTCCACGACGGACTTAATTAAACTCCTTGATGAGAGGGTTACAATTGGTAGGGTCGGCAGACCTCCTATCTCTAGTGCCTCCACATAACTTATCTCGAATAAGACCTCCTTCCAACATGTCAAATTCGCATGGGTCCGCCAGCTGTCTTAGACGGACAACAAACTGGTCTATCGTCTCGTTTTCTGTTTGCGTAGCCAGCAAAAACTTGTTGCGTTTGAAAAGTACATGCTTCTGCGGTATAAAGTGTTCACCTAGTTGCTTGATAATCAATTCTGGCTTTTTCTTATCCTCCACGGACAGAGTAGGGAGGGTGTTCATAATCTTGACACATTCCGGGCCCATTATGCTACACAAGGCTGCAGCTTGAACTATACCACTTTTTTCCTTTAACTCTGTGGCTATCTTGTTTGAATACTTTCCAATTTGTGCTCAGTTCTCCTTTCATCGACATAGGAGTGGTTATCTGATATGCAGCAATACTGGACTAGTCAACACAATCCAGGCTTATACAATCTGACTCCTACAGTGTTCATATGTCCTTGACCCTTTTATGTACTACCCTCCAACTCCATCGAATCTTGGCTATTTATATCTCCACATTGCATCACCCCTGTAAGACTAGCCAAATCTTTTGTCACTGTCCTCCGCTATTTTGGCGGGAAAACTGTCACTGCCACAGCACTGGAGCCTTCTTCATAAATCCTCCAAATACTCACAGCTCTCATCGTTTCAGTTCCTATTATCTGAATGGCTCATATCTATGAGTGCTGGCTCCACTTCTGACACCATGTTTGTCTTGTCTTTATTCATTTATAAAGAACTCTTATTAAAACACAATCGACACGTTGTGTAGTGCAACTGGTTTATTCCTCCATACTGTCAAGCACCCTGAGTCGGCACGCATACAAGTGGCGCCACCTCTTGGTGTATATATCAACATCCACAACACCCGTGAGCCCATTGTCCTCGCTGCCCGCCAAATCCACCAGGTACAGTTTCCCACTATCCTATAATCTTATCCTTATAATCTTATAACTATTATATAACTTATCCCTATAATCGTCTGGCGTCGGCTGCCCGAGTTAACGGGCTTGCCCTGGTGACAGCCATAGCGATGATGAACCCATCTCGATTCTACACAGCGGCTGGTGTAAGCCTTCTGTCCATGGCTACCCCAACAACGAACTTTTGTGAATTAGCAAAAATACCTCCCTATGTAGGAAAACTTTCTCTAAACTCCCCAACACTGGAGCACTCACTCCTCCCACATAAAACATGTCTCTCCCCACACGTATCAAATCTCTTCTCACACAGAGTAATACTCTTCCCCACATAGCAAAGCTCTATTACAGATTATGTGTATTAGATTATTTAGCATGAGATTTTGGCTACTTGGAGAGTCCTGTGGTAATCTGTAGTATTCTCGGTTTACACGTATGTCATGGCCCATGAAATTTGCCAATACATCTAATTCATTCTTTTTCAGGTTCACAATCTGAGATATTGTCGCAATCTGTTTTCTGAGTCTAGTTGACCTGATGTTCTCTGGCTGGGCTGCTCCGCTGGCTTTTGATAGTTCTCACAGAACATCGCACCCCCGCAAATGTCCAATTCCTCTGTAATGCGATCTTGCGAAGAGGTAGATGTTATTTGGGTTTACTCCTGCCATTTCTCTATTCTTGATTAAACAATCCATGGCTATCTTTGTGTCTTCATTAAGAAGTACAGGTACAGTGTTTCCCCGTTTTCCTCTGACTTCCAGTCTGTGGAAGAACCTGCATAATGCTTGTTCCATCTTTGACAGGCCATCCAGAACGATCTTGTCGAAATTTGGTTCCCTCTTGTTATAATCTTTTAGTGTGATTTTGGATAACTTCGCTTGGCGTCTACGATTGAACAGAATAATGCTTGCCAACACTGCTGCGTTCAAGCAATCCCATGCGGCTGGGTTGCTGCTATCTTTGCTACCAGTCAGAGTTCCCAAATGTTCATGAGCCTTGAGGTATTCTGACATCTTCACGCCATCCTCGGTTAAAGGTAATACCTTCACTGCGTTCCGTTTTTTTCGGGCATAGTGCGTAGAGCATGTGTAGACAGTTCAACAGGAAAATTCATCTCACACAATGTGTAGAAGTCGCACGCTCATTGCTGTAGACTTGAATCTCCATTTTCTAAGCCCTGCCCTTCCAAACTTTTGGCGCACTTCTTATATTGGTTAAGTTTAAGAGCCCGACTCTGGACGCCAAACGTTTGGTTCTCCTCATCAAACTCTGCCAACGACTTGACAGATTCCACTCACAATCGAAAGTATGATGGGTTGATAAATTCTGAAAGAGAAGCATCTGGCATTTTACGAGTAGCTCTCAGCTTGATGGCTAGCCTTCCCATCCGCCTCACATGTGCTCGAATCCCATTGTGCTGGTCTTTGTCATGGCCAAGCTTCATATACTCCCTTCGTCCAAATTCTATCAGGAGTTAGTCACTTCGAACTACAAGAGAAATGTTGTCAGATTTCATGCTCTGTTAAATCTCGTGTAGAGGTAGACTTGTTCCTGGCGGTGACGGTAAAAGGAGTTTGCCTGTTACAGCTGGTCGTCTCATTGTCTTCTTTACCCTGGATGGACCATCATTACTGTTCGCTTCAGTTGGTTTTAGTGGACACTTGTGTTTCCACAGATCTGATCTAACCAGGTACACGAAACAGAATTTACAGGGGGCATACTGTTCGGCTGCTATTGCTACAGATGGTCTGTAACCTACATTTAGAGCTCCTTTGCCATCTCTGAGAACTTGGCAGTTGTGGCGGTGATTGCCAATGTTTCTAAGTTTGGCCAACTTTGCCTTTTTCTTTGCATCATTTTCCTCGTTGTTGACATCAATTACGTCCACTTCATTTGCGTGTAGTGTCATCAAATGTCTGGCGAATTTTGATTGTGGTTTCTTGCAATACAGACATATATGCTTTTTATCCCACTGTGATATCGCTAAATATTGTGAATCACCACACCATCATTCGTTGTATTGTACAGGGGTTCTAGGTATAGTCGCAGTTATGATGTACAATCCTTGCGTTGTGTTCTCCCCAGGATGAAATTCAAACAGGGGGGAGTTTTTCCAAACGGGGCGCGCGCGCCCCGTTTG